CAGTGGTATAGTTCGACCTTGAACTAGAACAGATGGATGTGAAGACTGCATTCTTGTATGGTGACCTAGATAAAACAATCTTGATGAGGCAACCTGAAGGGTATGTCGAAAGGGGGAAGGAAGATTATGTAAGCAAGCTGAAGAGGTCCTTATATGGGCTGAAACAATATCCTCGATAGTGGAATAGGAGATTCGACAAGTTCATGGCATGCACAAGTTTCCCTAGAAGTCAGTTCGACCACCGTGTTTACTTCAGATTTCAACCTGTTAATTCATTTCTTATTTTGTTGATTTTATGTGGATGATATTCTAATAGCAAGAAACAATGTCGAAGATGTAATGAGGGTGAAGGTTAAACTTAATAATGAGTTTGACATAAAGGATCTAGGAGTTGCGTCCAAGATTCTTGGGATTGACATCTGAAGAGATAAAAGCAGTCGAAATTATGCTTATCTCAAGAGGCATACCTACGAAAGATTCTCGAAAAGTATGGTATATCGAATTCAAAGCCTGTTATGACAACAACAAACCCTCAATTCAGGCTAAGTATAGATCAGTGCCCCATTACTGATGTCGAAAGAGTTTATATGAATAACATTCCATATGCTAATATAGTGTGTTCTTTGATGCATGCTATGGTCTGTACTAGACTTGACGTAACATATGCAGTAAGTCTTGTAAGAATGTACATGACGAATCCTAGAAAAGCTCACTTGTAAGCATTGAAGTGGATTCTAAGGTACATAAATGTGTCTCCAAATAAAGTCTTAATTTATGGTGGAGCCTTGGATGGAGATAGTAAAGCAGCAATTGAAGGGTATGTCGACTCTGATTATGCAGGTTGTATGGATTCCATAAAATCTATTTATGGATATGTGTTCACCATGTTTGACATAACAATTAGTTGGAAAGCAACACTTCAGAAGGTTATTTCCTTATCAACCACTGAAGCAGAATATATCGTCGTAACTGAAGCTGTGAAGGAAACATTGTGGCTTGAACGTTTTGCAAAGGAATCATTGTTATTCCTGAGTACTTGTAATCTAGTTTAAAGAGAAAGTAAAGAATAACAGTTATAACAAATCCTTGTTGTTGTTCTTCTTATTTTTCTGCTAACCATAACCCTTGTATGTTTCTTGATCATAAAGAAATCGTTTATATTTTTTTTCAAGACATCGATTTTCACAACAATTTGATTTTTTGGACGCTCAAAATTTTGCTGACAGTTTTAGATGTGTCATACCCTAAATTTTATCCCTTAGATGCCATCATCATTTGCATTATCATTCTAGGTCAATCATTGTTGTATAACTAACCAGATATCAAGCTTTATGGTTTTGTTCTTGTGGAATTAGGGTTTTGTTCAAGAGGTTAAAAGCACTGATCAATTAAGGTTTTGGATGGATCACTAACCAAGCAAGTTCTCACACTCTCAGCAGACCTCACCCTCATCAGTAATCTAGTACAACATGGCCTCCTTACAAGTTATTCAAAGTTCAAACTCGTCTGACCATGAATTCAGATTCATCATCATCATCTTTAGATGAATGAAGCAAATGGATTGATAAAAATGGATTTCCTTCTCTTCAAAGCAACAAAAATTCCTAAGGAAGTTATGGTGTGAGTTACTGCAAGACTTGAGAATCAGAAAACCCAAAGCAACTTTGGTTTACTCTTGATCAGTTGAGGAAATATAAACTTCAAGAAGTTTTCACCTATGTCTAGTTCAAAACATTACTTGATCAATATGAAGTCGTTGAGTAATTAAAGTATCTTATTTGTCTCTTCATTTGATAGAGAGTCAAAAGTTATGAGACCATTGGTTCTAAATTCAAAAGGTGAGCTCTTCTTTTGTAAACTCATGGAAATTAAAATTTGAATTTAAAGACAAAAAATTGTGCTTTAAAACTCTAAGATTTAAAAGTTGAGGATAGACTTAAGGTGTGAGTTTGACTTATACTCGATATGGGTGAGATTTGATTTTGAATATGATTCTTGAACTCGTTTCAAGTGTGTTTTTGATTTGGAAGATTCCATAACCATGACAAAGTTTGTTCGAGTGTAAGGTGTGAAATGGTTATTATTCATTCTTTAGGAAGAGATATACAAAGAAAATACCATATTGGATCAAATATCAAAATCCTATTCAAGTTTCAATCTTCCAAATCCAAGTCCATTCCTAATTAGGATTCCATGATAAAATCACCAATTTCATGATCAAGTTTTGAGTTTCAATTTAAGCCTCAAATTTCATTTCAAATTCAAGTTCACATTAAGTTTCATTTGACCATTTCAAACTCAATGATCAATTCACTTCATAAACTCAAAGTTCAAAATTCAAGTATGTGTCCATTTTGCAAATTCAATTGATACAAAATCTTAAATTATTTAGACTCAAATTAACTCAATATAAGATCATTTCAATACAAGTTAGAGCCAATTGACCTTACAACTTAGAATTAGGTATAGAGTTTGTAAACTCTATGTGAGTACCATTGTTTGAGTACTCACTATCCCCTTTGACCTTGTTAGAGTCAACCCCTTAGCTAGTCTCTCAACTTAGACTTAATAGAGTTTGTAAACTCTATGTAAGTGTCATAGTTATGAACATTTACTTCCCTTTGAAATATTGATCACAATCAAAAGTTCCTCACCCTTAGTGAGGTGAACTATGAATGCTCTGATTCCATCCTTGTCAGGATATGTAGGCACAAGATGCAATGTCTTCGCGAGCATATTTAGTAAATACCTTAGGTATTTCCCTTAGCAAGAAAAATTTAGTATAACACAAATACAAATAAGAAGTTTCTGTAGAGTACTACAAATACTTAGGATGCTAGCACCTTCCCTAGGTATAACCAACCCCCAAACCTTAGTTTCTCTTAGATTTATTGTTACATAACGCACTTAAGGTTTTGAAGAAATGTTTAAGAATTTTCTCAATTTTCATTTGTGTAATTTTCTCAATTTTATCTTCAACAAAAATATATATAGTGGATAGAATTTTCTCAATTTTCTCAATCTCCTACAACTACGATCGGGAGGGAGCTAAAATAATTTGATATCAAAACTGATCCTCGAACCAGATTAATCAATTTAATGGATATGACACTGGTGGTAAAAAAAATAGACTTTTAAAATAAAAAACTCACAAACTTCTTAAAAGGATCTTAAACAAAAATATATCCATAGAATATCCTTTTAATTAATTAAATTAATTAATAGATGATACCATTTTAAATAAATATTTCCTTTATTAATTGTTATATAAATATATAATAAGGATTTTTCAAATTTATCTTCAAAACATAGTGAGGGAACATGCCCCCATACTTTCCCATGTAGCTCCGTCCCTGCCTATCAGATGCTTAAGAACTTCCATCTCAAAATTATTAAAGGACAGCCGAAGGCCCATGATCGAGAAGACGTATTCATAAAAAGGAATGACACAATCGTCATACACATTGTATATTCTATCCTTTTTATTAAGGGTCAAAACACCCTAATCTGAAGATGAATTAACATCGAGAAAGATTCCGTCAAGATTACCATATTTAGCACAGACATATGCAGTTGAAGAGTAAACAAAGTCCATCCACAAAGATGGAACATTCTTATGTGATTTTTGAGTCACGGTCTATACTTTTTTCTAGACACATGAAATAAAAAATATCAAAGGAAATAAGATAACAATGAATTGAGAAATATAACTTAAAGAAGGGCGGAGCTAACTCTTCAAAAATCGTAGGCTAGCATGCAAAGGAAGATAAACTCTATTAACTCTTCAAATAATTCATACACAATACTCAAGTGTTCTAGTTTTCAAGAGTCATAATAAAGATACATCAGAAAAAATGTTTGAAGTATGTGGCATTAAAGTTGTGAATCCCCAAAACATTGAAACACTCACCTTTGCTCTTCCGAGATAGATGAGTGAGTGGTCAGCGATCGATGCTAATACGACAAACCCTTGCCTTGCACGCAGAAACAAGAGCTTGATGGGAAAATATTTCGGGTCAACCATATTAATCCCCGACTAACCACTCTCGAGAAGATAAAATCCTTCTAGAACCTTCTCATCACACGAGAGCTACTCTACAAATAAATACAAAGATCCAAATTCCAGATACATCCAACAACTCCTGGTGATTCACGCCAAACAAATAACCAATTGTTATTTCCTTTTCACTGTATATAGAAAACACGCAAGTTCAACTATTCAAATTTAAATTTAATTTCAATTCACTTATCTCTCTCACATACTGACTTAAATGATTGAGTGTTAATCTTACCGATCAACCCTCTCTCAACTGCATCAGAAACTTAAATTCGTAATTTCTGACAATTCTCACTCTATTTCTGATTTCGATACCGCTTATTTACATAAACTTTTAAAAGTTTTTTAACTAATGAGCCTTAAACTAATTACAATGTTATTTACATTCTAATATTTATAACATTTTTACTAGTCACTTTTAGTTTTTCTTGACATATACTACTAAGTGGTTGATCAGCATTTATTTTTGTCTATATGAAAATACAAATAAGTAAAAACAAAATGACAGAAACCTTAACCGTGCATCGCAACACACACTAATGTTGTTGCTTTCTCTGCTCACTTCCATTTCCATCTTCACTGTACTCATTCCGAGTAACCCTTTTTTTTCTTCGTTTTTCTACTCCCTAATTTCACCTTCCGCCTCCACAATTCCTCGCCGGAGCTTCTACACCTCACCGTGTTGGTAAGTAATAACAAAGTCTTCATCAACTTTCTCTTTCCCCTCCCATTTTTCTGCTACCTCGTTCAATTTTACCAATGCAATTGTTTATTTGCCTTTTTCAATTTCTTGAAACACTCTTTGCTATTCCAACTTTATGAAATGAATTGATGGAGCCATGGAATGGAACATTTGTAGATGTAACTGAATTTTAACTTGCTTGCAGGTTCTTTCTTCTATGTGATGTGTTAATTAGGACATGCTTAGATAAATCTGGTTCATATGCTGAATAGGTAAATCTTCTTCCAGTTCGGCATTAGTCTGTTTTCTGTTTCTTTTTTTTGTTTTTTTTGGAGGAGAATTAGGAAGTAATTTATTGTTGAAAAATGAGAATATTACAATGAATGATGAATGCACAAAAGAGGACAGGATTATGAACAAATGCATTAGAGATGAAGTACATGATAGAATTTTCAGCTTTAGTGATTTTGATATGTGTGGAGAATATATGCTGAAGCTTCATTATGGAGAGTAGTTCATATCAAGAATTGGGAATAGTTAACAGGTACAATTAAGCCAAAAAACTAAGGTAGGGTATGCTTTGGTGCATTCTCTCCCCACACATTGAACCGATGTAATGGTGAGTCTAGGGTGGGAGGGTAGCTCAACTGGCTTGAAACAGTTGAGTTAAGGGTTAACAGTAGTTGGAGGTCAGGGTGAGTGCCATCAAAACTAGGTAGCTCAGTTTGCTTTGTTGTTCACGGGATTCGGATAGTAACTCCATTGTCAAAACCATACTCTAAACCTTTCTGTCCATTTTGACCGTTCTTTGGTTCCTCTTTGATTCCTAATGACCACTTGAATGGGGAGTAATATGTGGTTACATGCCTGTGATAGACACAACTCCTTAAGCATTTGCTGAAAGTAGTTATGCTTATCTGTTCACATTCTTGCTTATCTGTCAATTAACTCCTTCACCGCAACTTCTTGTTAAGTCAGATGAGAATCCATGGTAGTGTTTCTGACCGCTCCGCACTTAGGCATACACTCTCCAACGATGGTATTTGGCATGTTGAACCAATGTTAGAGACTTAAAGTTGAATAATATGATAGTGATTGTATTTGTTAATTGTTATTGAATAAAATATTTGTTGTTCAGTGGCACTACTCCATCAATTAGACCCTCAATCTCCTTAGTCCTAACCAAAAAACATTTGGCGAATTGCTGTTGCGGGTTGTATTATCTTGGACATATTAGATTTCGTTGTACATATTCTTTTTTGGTTGAACATTATTTACTATTGTTTGTTTATTATGGGAACCATTAAGGATGTGTGAATATCTTTCTGCTAATACCATTTGGATAAAAGATGATTGGATTTTTGACATCTACTTATCTGGTGTTGTGTAATTCTGCTATAATAGGATGTTGGATCACCAATCTGGCCAGGGATTTGTTTCGGATGGTAGCCACCTTGACGAGCTAGCGGAAATCAATGAGAAACAAGAGAGAGTAAAAGACGAGTTTTCAAACAATTTAGAATTATGTGCAAGTGAAGCTGAAAAATTTGTCGAACAACCTGTATCAGATTCAGACGCATTAGAACCATTCATAGACATGCAGTTCAACTCAAGGGAGGAAGCCAGAGAATTTTACAATGCCTATGGTAGGCGGATGGGATTTACAGTACGAGTACACCATAACCGACGTTCACGAGTGAATAACCAGGTTATCGGTCAAGATTTTGTCTGCTCAAAAGAAGGCTTTCGTGCAAAGAAGTATGTGCATAGAAAAGATAGAGTGCTCCCTCCTCCACCAGCCACCCGAGAAGGATGTCAAGCCATGATAAGGCTGGCTTTACGGGATGAAGGGAAGTGGGTTGTCACCAAAGTTGTGAAGGAGCATACACATAAACTGATGAGTCCTAGTGAAGTTCCATGGCGAAGATCTGAGAAGCACTTGGTTAGTGAGGTATGCATGTCTCCATCTCAATTTATTACTTGCAGATGTTGGATTATGACATTTTGATTCATGTATAGTTACGTTAGTTGTTAGGATCTAATGTCTATGTTATGTTAGTTGTTAGGATCTAATGTCTATGCTATGTTTGTTCCGTTATTCTACCTCAAACTTGTGTTGTTGATTTGTGTCACAGGATGAGAAAGATAGGAGAATCCGTGAGCTATTGCTTGAGTTATACAACGAAAGGCAGAAGTACAAACGACGCTGTGCAGCATATGAAGAACAGTTAAATGCGATTCTGAACGATTTGGAAAAGCACACGGAACACATCTCTAAAAAAGTTGCTGATGTAGTCCGAAATATAAGAGAGATCGAGGAAGAAAAATCAGATTCAAAAGGCAGGTAAAAAATGATGCCATTATAGCACATTCCATTGCTGCCAGAGACATCCCGGTGAGATAGTTAGTCCTATTCTCAATTCAAAGTTTTCCAATATAACTTTATCAACATTTGGCTTGAAGTTATGTTGTGGTCATATTAAAATTTCATGCAGTATATAGTTTACCAAGAAATTCATTTTCTGCTATGTATCGTGTCGGGGATTAAGTACTTAAAACTTTAACATGTTCTTGTTAAAAAGTGTTTCTCTTATGAGTGCCATAGTCATTGTATTCTTACATTAATTGATAAACTAGATTCATGTCACTTTCAAGTGATTTCAATAGAAAGAGTTGATAAAAATTTCAAGAAATATATCTTAAAACAGAAGTGTACATTACAAACCGAAAAAAGAAAGAAAGAAAACACAGACACTTCTTGTCACAACGGTAGTGTGTGTCCTTCATTGCAATTACCTTCCTCCTCCTCCAAAAAATCCATTAGTAGTACCTGGGCAGAACACATTCATGTCAAGCCTACTGTTAATCTAACTCGACTCAGATTCACTGTACTGAGTCAATCTAAGTTATTGGATAGAGATTCCAATACAAGGACTCGCGTCGGTCGAATCGATAATTTGAAACCTCAAAGTGTCCAATTTTTATCATCAGTTGAGATCATTGACTGCAATAACATCTAGCCCACAGTATCATATGTATTCCCATACTAACCACCCAAACAACTGGGATAGGAAAAAAAACAAACAAATTAAGATGACGAAAAACAGAAGCCGAAAAACATGCCTATTACAAAACACGTCGATCACGACATGAACCTGAATCATACTACGGTACTTATTATTTACAAAGAGAGAATTGAAATTCAACGTCGAAAACACCAAAACCCAACACAACTAACTGAGAGCAGAAAAACCACCACCCTTCATCATTTGCTTAAACTCCTTATAATCAACCAACCCATCTCCATCAACATCAACCTTCCCTATCATCTTCTTACAATCTTCCACAGTTCTTCCCTGTTTCAATCCCAACGACACCAGAACAGATCTCAACTCATCAACACTAATAAACCCATCTCCATTTTGATCAAACACATTGAACGCTTCCCTCATATCTTCCTCCTCCTCTTCAACACGTTCGTCCATAATCGACTCATACAGCTCTCTAAACTCCTCAATATCCACACACCCGTCCCGGTTCACGTCGATCTTCTCAATCATCTGACTCAACTCTTTGTCAGGAATGAAAATTCCTAAATTCTCCAACGAGTCGTTCAGCTCCTTCTTCGTTATTCGACCGTCGTCGTTGCGGTCAAACATCTGGAAAACACGCTTGAGTTCGGTTGGATCCATCGTTATTGTCTTGGTAATAACAAGACCTTTTTTCGATGAGGATGAAAGTGTAGTAGTAGTAGTAGTAGTGTTGTTGTTGTTTTGGATGAGATTGGTTAAGGTTTGATGAGAGAACCAAGAAAGTGGGAAGAAGGTTATAAGTTTCTTAGGTACAAGAGAAATGAGAAATGAGTTGACAACGTTGTATAGAAGGAAAATCCTAAGCAAGATAGTTGGCATTTGAAACAAGGAAAGTAATGTGTGATGTTTTTTGTGTTGGTTTTTTGTTGAATATAAAAGGAAAGTTTGGAGAAATTAAAGTAGTAACAACTACTAGGAAGAGAGAATTGAGTTGTTTCTTTTTGTGTGGGGTTTTAAGATTGAGGTGGTGGAGTAGGCTCTTTATTGTCTTTGATTTAAGGTGGTGGGGTTCTTCAAATTTTCACGCGTATTTGTGTTTTTGGTTGTTCACTTTTCTAAAACTAATAAGTGAAACATTATTAATCATTATGACTTGGTTGTACAAAAGCGCGTTTTCGTTGAATTATTCGGTTGAAGGAGTATTGTGTATTGTTTAATTTGCCTCGTGTGTCACTTCAATTCGGTTGGTTGTATTTGTTTGCCTTGTTTACTTCTCTCAACTATTCAAATATCTCAATCATGATGTGCATAGTTTTTAAGAAATTAGACGACTTAATTTTAATTTAAATATAAATATATTTATTAAATAATTAAGTGGGTTAGAAATATAATAAATACATTAATATAGAAAGGATAATTAATGTTTTTTCTGGGTAGTTAAACAAAGTGTTGAGATTGAAGTGTGAGTAGTTAAATTCAACATGGATTAGAATAAATGAAAAGTTGGATATATAAGAGAAAAATATTTATACATTCATCATCTTAAGATTTTGGGTGAATAAATTAGGTTAATGTTTTTTGGATTATGAATATTTAATTCGTTAGCACTTTCGGTGTTTCTCAAACTTTGCAATAAGTGATATTAGAGTCGTGGTTAGATTTGGTGGGGAAGTGGAAGAGAATCTTATTATGGATCAAGATTAGTGATGAGAGAGACTCATATTTGCGGGAGAGATAGTTGGAAATCAAGTGTGAGTGGTTAAATTTAACATTGAGTAGAAATGAATGAAATGTAAAGATCCACACTTCCATTTCCTTAAGGTTTTAGTTGAATATACAGTGTCAATGTGTTCGCTGTGAAAATTGGTGAACCATTGCTGGTCTTTCAAATCGAAAAAGATTTGTTTTACTTACAGGACCGACCACACAAATCCTAGGACATGTGCTAGTTGATCTTAAACAAAATTTGGAAAAACAATGAACACTTCAACAAAGTTCATGATAAAAATAACTTGTTTCAAAAATGTAAATGAAATTGAACACAAGAGATTAAAGTCGAAAGACTGGTAAACAAATGTAGAAAGTAACTTGCGCAAGGAAAAGATAAATTTTTAATGAAAAAACTTATTGAATTACATTGAAATGTAAAAATGGTGTTGCATCAATGTACATTCTCACGAACTCGTTTCTCTATACATAGGTACTTTGAGTATATTGAGGAATTTATACACAATTGAACACACACACACTAATCCTAACACTAAGACTCGCTCAAGTTACTTTTCAATGCAACTTGAAAATATATTGAGGAATTTGTACATAATTGAACACACACACTAATCCTAACACTAAGACTTGCTCAAGTTACTTTTCAATGCAACTTGAGAAAGTACCCGCGTATAGAGAAATGAGTTCGTGAGAATGTCGTTGATGCAACACCATTTTTACATTTTCAATGCAATTCAATAAGTCTTTTCATTAAGAATTTATCTTTTCCTTGTGCAAGTTACTTTCTACATTTTTTACCTGTCTTTGGACTTTAATCTCTTGTGTTTTACATTTTTGAAACAAGTTATTTTTATCATGAACATTGTTGAAGTGTTCATTGTTTTTCTAAACTTTATTTAAGATCAACTAGCACATATCCTAGGATTTGTGTGGTCGATCCTGTGAATAAAACAAATCTTTTTCAATTTGGAAGACCAACAGTTGTTCACTAATTTTCACGGGGCGAACAGAGAGATTGTTAAAAAATCATACATCTAATCGAAAAAATGATGGATATATAAGAGAATAGACGTATACTCTCACTACTTTAAGATTTTGAGTGGTTATGTAATATCGATATCTCTTTGCTATGAATGTTTAACCTATTTAACATTTTTGGTGCCCTTCGAACTCTCCAACCCAAAGCAATAATAACCCACATAAATTTACAAAACTCAAACTTAAAACATAATATTCAAATATAATAATATTGATATTTGTTAGTTGAGACACATAAAAAATATGAAGCTTAAGTCTCGATCAAAGATTAATTCATATTTATTATTCGTCACACCATGTTGATGTAGTATTGATTGTTTAACTAACAAATAATGTATACTCAGGCTCTCTTTCACAAGGCTGTATTGATTGGTATAAACTGTAAGTTGATCACCTATGAATTAACTTATTCTTTTTTGGTCAGAAAACTGTCTTAGTCGACAAATAACGTGTGTTGTTGTACCTTAGAGTAGAAGACATGAACGAATTCTCTCCAAACCAAACGACTCTTTATTCTGACCCTTCCCTACTCTTAATTTTTAGTACCACTTTATTCCATGCTTATTACTATTGTTAATGACAAGACTAATTCTTGATTATCATTCGAATACTTGATTTACTTTATTTAGTGTTGAGATTGACTTGAATAAGTATTTTTTTTTTATCAGATGAAATGAGTAGTATAGAAAAACATTGGTGACTTTTGTTGTGTGAGCGTCTTTTCTGGTGAAGATTTTTATGACCGTTGATAACGGATCTAGACGTTGGAGAAAGTGAGCAGGCAGGGGCCGGCATATATTATGCACTGACTCCATACACTTTGGATTTCTTCAACCGCTCTTTGCGCGTCTTTACTTTTACTGTTGACAAGTGGCATCTATTCCTCCATTATCTCTTCACAAGTTTAATTTATGTTTTTTTCTTTTCAAAAAAATGATCTTACAATTTTTTTAATAGATTTAAGTTTAAGTATATGATGGGGATTATAAGTTGGATTGGGTTGGGGGTACTGTTTTCAAAGGTATAATAATAATAATAATAGAATTTTTTATTGGATTTTAGATGTTTCTAATGTATCATATGAATTTTAATATATGTTTATTGATTTCGGAGATATATTTTTGGGCACATCTATTTCTGAATAGATGTTGATATATTTCAGAGATATATCTTTGAAACAATTTAAAACATTTCAAATATATTACTCAGTAGTCATTTACATTTGAAGATACATATCCGAAATGTATCAGAACATGTGTTTTTTGCTATAAGTTGTGTACTTGTTTTTAGATGAAGTATAAAGCACGACCTCGAATTAAAAAAATAGACATACAAAATAATAAGAGACTAATAGCGGATGTGTCGAAATGATATAACAATGTATGTAGAAAATGTCGTACAGTTAAATTCAAAATGTAATGAAATCGTAAAAATAAAATAGAGAGTATAATACTATAACAAAATAATAACAGACTACTATTGTGTGTTCCTAACAACATCTCCTCTGCCTCCTTTGTCTCCTCGGTCATGAATTTCCCTATCCTCCAGTG